GATTTCTTCAAGGATCGCTGATTTCTTCAAGGATCGCTGATTTCTTCAAGGATCGCTGATTTCTTCAAGGATCGCTGATTTCTTCAAGGATCGCTGATTTCTTCAAGGATCGCTGATTTCTTCAAGGATCGCTGATTTCTTCAAGGATCGCTGATTTCTTCAAGGATCGCTGATTTCTTCAAGGATCGCTGATTTCTTCAAGGATCGCTGATTTCTTCAAGGATCGCTGATTTCTTCAAGGATCGCTGATTTCTTCAAGGATCGCTGATTTCTTCAAGGATCGCTGATTTCTTCAAGGATCGCTGATTTCTTCAAGGATCGCTGATTTCTTCAAGGATCGCTGATTTCTTCAAGGATCGCTGATTTCTTCAAGGATCGCTGATTTCTTCAAGGATCGCTGATTTCTTCAAGGATCGCTGATTTCTTCAAGGATCGCTGATTTCTTCAAGGATCGCTGATTTCTTCAAGGATCGCTGATTTCTTCAAGGATCGCTGATTTCTTCAAGGATCGCTGATTTCTTCAAGGATCGCTGATTTCTTCAAGGATCGCTGATTTCTTCAAGGATCGCTGATTTCTTCAAGGATCGCTGATTTCTTCAAGGATCGCTGATTTCTTCAAGGATCGCTGATTTCTTCAAGGATCGCTGATTTCTTCAAGGATCGCTGATTTCTTCAAGGATCGCTGATTTCTTCAAGGATCGCTGATTTCTTCAAGGATCGCTGATTTCTTCAAGGATCGCTGATTTCTTCAAGGATCGCTGATTTCTTCAAGGATCGCTGATTTCTTCAAGGATCGCTGATTTCTTCAAGGATCGCTGATTTCTTCAAGGATCGCTGATTTCTTCAAGGATCGCTGATTTCTTCAAGGATCGCTGATTTCTTCAAGGATCGCTGATTTCTTCAAGGATCGCTGATTTCTTCAAGGATCGCTGATTTCTTCAAGGATCGCTGATTTCTTCAAGGATCGCTGATTTCTTCATGGATCGCTGATTTCCGCTCTGGGCGCTGCCAGGCCGTGCCCCTAAAAGGCGTCCTCCTCCCTGCAGCTTTTCTGTGGCGTGCCCCAGGGGACCAAGATCGGGCCCCTCTGTTTCTTGGTCCTAATCAACGATACACTGTGTGACACCCCGATAATCAACGATACACTGTATGACACCCCGATAATCAACGATACACTGTATGACACCCCGATAATCAACGATACACTGTATGACACCCCGCACAGGTGGAAATACTTCGACGATACCACATTCGCAGGAGACGTCGACAACAGTTGTCCCAGCCACTCCAAACCACCATCAGCCACCTCCTCACTTGGACGACAGCCAACCACGTCACTGTTAACAAGCTGGAGACCGTTGTCCTGCACCTCGCCACCACACCCACCCTACGCCATCACGCATTCTGGCTGACCACTCACTGGACGCGGTGCCCACCATCAGACTGCTCGAGGTCATCACCGACAATGAGCTTTCGTGGGACCATCACATCGCTACCAAGATCAGATCAGCCTCATGTAGACTCGATATCTTCTACCGATTGAAGTTACTTGGTCTCCCAAAATCGGAATTGTCCACCATCTTCAAACTGTCCATACACCCCAGACTTACGTACACATCGCCAGCATGATCATCCAGCCTCAATAACACACAGCTAAATAAGCTAGAAAAAAGTCCAAACGAAAGCAGTTAAAAGTCATCCTTGGCCCATAATACAGCAGCCATGACAACGCCCTTGAGTCTTGGCCTCCCAGCCCTAAAGGACCTTTTCCCCTGCAACCTCCTCAAGTTTGGCGAGCAGGTGCTGGGCAACCCCCGCCACCGCTACCTCCTCAGCTTTTCTTTCCAAAATCCTGAGCCATTGCAAACGAATGTACACAAAATATCTAGCTGAGAGCAAAGAAGTTGATGTAAAATATTTTGACTTTGCAAAAGCTTTCGATAAGGTCGACCAGAGAATTCAACTCCATAAGCTAAAGGACTTTGGAGTCAGAGGAAAAATGGCATACCACAAGGTTCAGTTCTTGGACCTCTGTTGCTCCTAATTATGACTAGGAACATTAATGCAGATGTTAAGCACTTCATTGTAACATCTTTTGCTGATGTCAAAGTAATAAGTACGCCATCAAGATTAATAGAGGGTGAAGACAAACCAAGAGAGGTCCTACATGGCACATATCAAAGTTTGAATTTCAATACATTTAGATTTGAATTACTACTTGTATAGAAATCTGAAGGCTAACGAAAAGGATACTTTTCAGAATTTTTTTTTTATTTAAGTGAAACCGCAGATGGAATCATACATATGTCAATTTGTCATTTTTCATTCTATAACAAGAATGATACTTATCATAAAAAAGTTATTGTAATAATTATAGCAATAACGATATTAACTAAGGTAATAATAGTAATAATTCCAATAGCAAAAATAATAAAAATAAAAGAAAATAACAATAATAATAATAACAGTAAATATAATATAATAACAATAATAATATATAAGCCCAATAATATGAAAGTAGCTAAATATCTTTTTAAAAATATAAAGTAAAACATATTAAATATTTATAGACTGGATGGCGTTCATGTAAATAGCCAGCATTGACATGAATCACCTGATTAATAAAATAGAAGATTCAACAACTAGGAATTCCACTGGTTATTGTAAGTTAATTATCATAATTTATAGATTTAATTACATAATAACTCTCCCATTCTATAGTGCAACATTCTAAGATCGATGTTTTTTTTTTTGTTAACTTTTTATATATAAATAATGCTAATAAATATTAATGTGGATACCAGCTCCAGTTATAACTATGCAACAATAAATAAAAAAAGGTTTTCTAAGACAGATCAAAAAAAGAAAATATCTAACTAAGGATTTTGTAGTAAGTATAAACACGAAATTCTACAGGATAGTTAGGCACAAAAACGAATATAACAGATAAGGACAAAAAATCAAAACTGAAAGAGATACAATACGAAAATACGAAGAAAGAAAGAAAAAAATATACCTTTTGAGCTTCAGGTTCATATATCTCTTTTCTTTTCCATCGATTCATCTTTGAAGGAACGGAAATACGAACTCGAAACTCGATGGATATTTTTTCCTTCCCTTTTCCTCTTGCTGTGTCTGTGTCTCAGTCCACAGATAAATATGGCAACGGTTCAATAAATAAAAATCGTGGCGCTTCTTCCCTCCATGTCCCCTGTCCCTTCTCGCCGAGGCCGCCGCCCGCCGCCCGAACGCAGCCGACGGGGGGGGTACGCCCACTTGGCGGGGCCTCGACGCCTCCCTCTAGGTCTCGGGCGCGGTCCTCGGCACCCTGGAGAGCGGCAGGGGCTGCGAGTGAGCGTAGAGGGCGCGGGCGTGATTCGAGATGTTGAAGTAGTAGTGGGGCGTGGCGGCGTCGACGGTGCCCAGGGTCGACACCTCCGGGGCCTCCGTCGGGGGTGCGGGCGGGGCGGGGGAGGGGGAGGGGGGAGGAGCCATTGCTGGGAGGGGGGATGTGGGACTGGGGCGTGGGGGGAGACGGGGGCGCCGCTGTGGAGGGATGTTCACCAACACTCGAGGGGCGTCTTCCTCCTCCTCCTCCTCGTCTTCTTCTTCTTCCACCTCTTCTTCATAATTTTCTTCATCTTCTTCCTCTTCTTCCTCGTAGGCAAAGTCATCTTCGTCGTCCTTTGGGAAGAAAAACAAAGGAGTCACAATCATTTCCTTTTTCTACGTGCAATACATAGAATATGCCACAATAAAACTTTAATTCCATTAGAGAGAAAAAACAACTTAAGAACAATAAAAACAACAATTACAGTGAAAACAACATTTACAACACATAAAAATAATAACCAAAACAACAACAGATACTTCTAACAATGAATATACCAATTCCAATAATCTCACCAGGAACTAACATCAACAACACCGAAAATAACAACAAAAACAACAACAAAAACAGCAACAACACTCACATCCCTGAGCCTGGGCACTCGAGCTGCTCCCATGAAGAGATCCTGAGGGAGGTCGTAGCACTTGCACACACAGCAGGAGGGGAACCGGAACCAGTCACTGCAGGGGGGAAGAGTCTCTCGTTATGGACAGGGTCGAAGGGTTTCAGAAATATATACAAAGGACAAATGCACATATATCTAGATTTATCTATCTGTCTCTGTATTTGTCTCTGTCTCTATCTGTCTGTCTGCTCTCTCTGTCTCTGTCTGTCTGTCTGTCTGTCTGTCTCTGTCTGTCTGTCTCTATCTCTCTCTCTCTCTCTCTCTCTCTCTCTCTGTCTCTCTCTCTCTCTCTCTCACACACGTCAGGATCGATCTCAAACTCGCCTGAAAATTCCCCGGCACTCGTTGTTGGGGTCGAAGGCCAGGAGTTTGTGGAGGCGGTACTGCTGCTCGCATCGGCACCCTTCGCGGCAGTACATCTGGCGGTGTTCGTACCTGGGGGAGGACGGGAGTGTGAGCGGTGCCTTGGTGTTTCGTTTCTTTCTGTCTCTCTCTGTTTCTGTCTCTCTCTGTCTGTCTCTCTCTCTCTCTCTCTCTCTCTCTCTCTCTCTCTCTCTCTCTCTCTCTCTCCTCTCTCTCTCTCTCTCTCTCTCTCTCTCTCTCTCTCTCTCTCTCTCTCTCTCCCTCTCTCTCAGATTCACCAATCCGCATAAACAAGAAAATGTAAACCATATTTCAATAAGAGAAAAAAAACGATCACATAAAAAACTGATATTAACAAAGCATTATCAAAATAAAGAACAAAAGGGAAAAAATGCACTTACTTGCAACGTTCCCACTGCACGTATTGCTCGAAGGGATAAAGATTGAGGAGGGCGAGCGTCTCTCCTCTCGTGTTGTTGGCCCAATAAGGAGCCACAAACTCCTCCTTCACTGGACATGCGTTCCTGAATAAGGTATGGAGAGGGTTTGAATGGCATGCGTTTTGTTGAACTCTTCTTAAAAAGCGATCTAAAAGCATATACGGAGAATTGATCTTCATTTGTTTTCGATGAGGAAAATAGCGTTCCTGAATAAGGAATAGAAAGGGTTCGAATGTCATGTGCGGTGTTGAAGTCTTCTAAAAAAGAGGAAGAAAAAAATCTAAAAGCATATACGGAGAATTGATCTTCATTTGTTTTCGATGAGGAAAATAGTGCGTTGAAAACGTAAGGTTCTGATGCCCTATGCATTTATGATGAATATAAAAGCTAGTTCGTATGGTTTATGTCGGTTTTCTATTGTTCTTCATTTCTTATCTTAATAGTCAGTTCCCTGAGTAAAAGAAATACTTCATCTTAAAATTCTACGTCAGTGCACTACCTACAAAATAAAACACTACGTCACGGCAAAGAATATCCATTGTCACAATTGGAATTAGAACTAAAAACATTACTTTCTTTCCATATTCCAAACGTCAAAGAACCCGGCATTTAAATCATGGGCACGAGTACGCATGGGCTTAAGAGAATAACGAAGCCAAGACCTCTCTATGCTGATATTCCTTCTCCGGCAACTAGGCAAATTACTAGCTGACAGTCTCAGTGTAGTCCTGATGATGATTCAATCGTGGTGCTCTCGGTGGGGCATGAAATTAAATCCTACTAAGTCTAAAGAAATGATTGTGAGTCGGTCTCGAACGCAGTTGCCTCAGCATCCAAGTCTGCTGATTAATGGAGTCTTAATCACTACGGTGGATAACTTGAAGCTCTTAGGTGTAACCTTTGATTCAAAGCTTACATTTGAATTGCGTATTAGGAATATGGCCCGGGCAATTTCATCAAAGTTAGGCATCATTCGCGTGCAAGAAAATCTATGAAGATTACAACATTACCCGTAGGTGCTTCTAATCTTTTATTCTGCCTCATTTTGAGTATTGTTCTTCTGTGTGGTTATCTGCTGCAGACTCACACTTAAGACTGCTTGATCGTTCTTTTAATCTTATCAAATATCTCCTGTCTGGCAAATTTGGACATTGGACATCGTAGAGTTATTGGGGCTCTTTCAGTTTTTGTAATTGTAACCGATAATTCACATCCCCTCTATAAGTTTTTGCCTGATTTTTATCAACCTGCAAGAATTACCAGAAGTTCTATGACTCTCAATTCAATGACATTTGATGTAAGTCGATCGTCTACAAGTCAGTTTTCTAGATGCCTTTTTACTGCTATTTGTAGACTTTGGAATAGATTGCCTTCAATTGTAACTTCTTCGACTCTTGATGAATTTAAAAGGTCAGCTATGTTTTTCTTACGTAATTAGCTGACTTTCTTTTATTCATTCTTTCTTAGCTGTATCTTGACCTGCACTGACACCTTTGGTGGTATAAATCTCGATTTTTTGTCTGGCTCATTATATAGCTTAATATAACAATAATAATAATAAGACCGTGGCTTTGTGCACTCACATTCCTCTGATGGGCCTCCTGACCTTCACGGCCTCTGGCTGCGTCGGCCTCTCCTGGCCCTGAGGCGACGCTGTGGTCTTGCCGTCCGTCGCAGGCCCCTCCCGGATCTCCAGGCCCTCGTCCACCTGCTCCCTGTTCTCCGGCTCCAGCTCCGACGTCGTTATCACTTCGTCGTCCAGCACCACGAGGATTTTGTCATCCGCTCTCGTTTCTTCTCCTTCTCCCTCTCCTCCCACTTCTTCTCGTCCCTCTACCTCTCCTTCGCCCGTTTCTTCTTCTTCTTCGTCGCCATAATCGGCTCCCACGTTTCCGTCTTCGCTCAGCGCCTCCTCGATCCCCAGGTCGATCTCGTCCTTGTCGTAGCTGGAGCCCTCCGCGTCCTCCTTGGCGGCCTGGTCGATCCTCTCGCCCAGCGTGAGGGTCGTGAGGTCGTCCTCGTCCAGCGGCGCCGAAATGAAGTCGTCCTCGAGCAGTTCGTCCAGTGGGAGGTCTGAGCGGGTGGTCGAGGGCGCTTGCGTCGTCTGGAATTCAAAGTGTATGGTCAGTCTTCTATCTTTATATGTATGTGTGAATATGCTTTTTTTCCTGTTTATATTTCTATTCTGCTTATCATAAATTTTTAAAATATTTTTTCCTCCCAATCTTTCAGTTTGTCTAAAATCGCCAAACCCTTCTTCAATGTTTACTTCAATTAAAGGTTAATTCAAATACATTAAAAGATGAATGTTATAAACCAAGACCCGCCTGCAAGTCCACCCACCTCATCCAGGGACGCACGCGTAAGTGCTGTCAACCTCCGAATCGGAAATGGGCGTAGAGTAGGAGGAAGAAGAATAAGAAGAGGAAGAAGAGGAGTAGGAGGCCGAGGCGTCCGTGGCGGGCTCGGCGAGCGTGGTAGCCCAGAGCTCCTCCTCCAGCTCGTCCCTGAACTCCGGCGGAACCAAGGTGGCCTCGAGAGCCTCGTCCAAAGGCGTCCCCGGCTCCCACGGCCTCCTGCGCGGAGAGACATTGCTCTGAAGACTTTCGGGATTCGTCTCTGACCTGAACGCTGCAGAGCTCACCGCGACTGATGTAGAAAAGGTGTGAGTGAAGAACATT